TGGTTGGTATCGATGTATTCATGACGTCTTCATGACGATGTATTCATGACGATCTGTGGAAATTATATGAAATGGAATGACAAAAAGGCATTGTCATAAGAATCATATATGCATGTTCATGTATATTGTATATACTGTATAAAAGACTGGCCTTGTGTGAACATGTGATATAGCCTACAGTGACAAAGCCTTAGGGCGGCAGGTAACCTAGCGGTTAGAGTGTTGGGACAGTAACCAAAAGGTTGCTAACTCAAGACAGGACAAATATAAGCACCCCCTATTTGAGTACATGTGAGTTATGCAAAGGAACATAATGGAGATTGTACTGAAATTCCAGCATTTAACACTTTTGCTGTAGTGGATGCACATAACAGTTTTAGGTATTCTGATTCAGTCTTTCTATGAGGTAGCAACAACTGGGGGGATTTCAGATGAGCCAAATCAGCTTGGATTTTTTCAGTGTTATGCTATGGGAGATATCTTCAGATAAAAGAGCTATGTTGTATCTTGTTGCTGTGTGGAAATACCCAGAAACAACATGGTGGAAGGCCGGAAGATGGATGGAACAACAATAGAAAACAACTCTTGCCACAAAAACTGCACATTCACAAAGAGAGAAGTGTATAGAGCTGTCCTCTGGATCTCTTGGCTAAGTATGGCCTCTAGTTTCACAACAAAGCTCCAAACTTTCAATGGTTCAGTTGCTAGTTAATATGCCGGAGAGGAAGCATGACAACAACATTATCCTCTTCAAAAACAAGTTCACCAAGTTCAAAACAGTTGAATGCCAGTGAGGTACCAAAAGGGCAAAGCATTTAGGAAAATTACAATAGCAAGTGACTCACAAAATGATATGTGACATTTCAAGTATCCACTAACATTTTTGAATAAATTCCTAATTATTAAAGGACTCATTGATTAATTATGTGTTTTCAGATGTGTAATGTAATATAGGCCTAAAGTAATGTACATTATTACCATAACGCCTTGTTGATGATGTGTTAACAAAAAACGTTACTGGGCTATTTTGATAAGAGTTGATAATAGAACATGTGCATACATCAGTGGAGGCGGTTGAGGGGATGACGGCTCATAATAATGTCTGGAACGGCGCAAATGGAATGGCATCAAACCATGTTTTTGATGTATTTGAAACCATTCCACTGATTCCGCTCCAGCCATTACCACAAGCCCGTCCTCCCCAATTAAGGTACCACCAACCTCCTGTGGCATACAGCTATTTCTCAGAGCTGGTGAGACATATTGAATCAGAAAGATTGAGGCTGGTCTACTGAGCTTCGGCTGAGCTTCTCTCTCTCTCTCTCTCTCTCTCTCTCTGAGGAGAACAGAACTTGGTATGCTGTATTCTAAAGGTGTTTATCTGCAATTGTGAAGGCAGGACCGGTGGTGTGTGTGCGTGTGTGCGTGTGTGTGTGTGTGTGTGGTGTGTGTATTTGTGTGTATGTGTGTGTGTTTCATCATACCCACTCACCAGTTCACACTGACACCACCACAGTGTGGGCATTTCAACAGCACACCTTCCCTTATCAGCACGTACCTCTATTCTTCTCATCCACAGTGGGAACAAGTGAGTGTTCTGTGAAGATCTTGAGCCAGGACTCACTCTCTGCCTGGCGCTCTCTCCCTGGGCGAGCCAAACACATTGGAGAAACAAAACATGTCAAAGCTAAAACCATCAATGCTTAAACAATAATTAATAGGGTCAGTTTCACCTCCTAAAGAAATCCTTATCAACCCCCCCCCCCCCCCCCCCCCGATACTAGCTGGAATTGTATTAGTGTTTTTATTATGTTGTACAAGACAGTAGATCTGTGCTTGTTGTCATGTAACTTACATTAATGATAGGCTACACAGTTGCAGTATTGGTCAAACATTGACAGAGGCTTAAAATATACATGAATCATATTAATTGACATTAACATGAAAATAAATCAGGCAGTTCTGACAATTGAATGTGACTCATCTTTTCATTAAAATGTACTTCCCCTCGGAAATTGGACTGAACACATGACAAAAACTATTTGCTCAGTGACAGTAACAATTAGCCTAATGTGCCTGGGTTTGTTTAGTGATACAATGCATTGTGATTTACAATAAGTCAGCTGAAACGTGAGTAACTCCCACAGCCACACAGTTCACTGCAAATAAAGAGAACAAACCCTATAGTTAATTCTCGGAATTGACACAACACAAGCCACCTGTACAGGCTCTGGTCAACATGATGACCAGACAGAGGGGGGGGTGCCTTGCTCAAGGGCACAACAGAAGACAATGGCATGTAGAATTCAATACCAGCATCCCTCCGGTTGCCGGGCTCACTTCCCGCCAGATTCTTTCCCGTCAGACCCGGAATTCGAACTAGCAACCCTTCAGAGAATTAATGCAGCAGGTTAGGAGACTTAACGCAGCAGGTTAGGAGAATTAATGCAGCAGGTTAAGATAATTAACGCAGCAGGTTATTCGAATTAATGCAGCAGGTTATTAGAATTAACGCAGCAGGTAAGGAGAATTAACGCAGCAGGTTAGGAGAATTAACGTAGCAGGTTAGGGTAATTAACGTAGCAGGTTAGGATAATTAATGCAGCAGGTTAGGATAATTAACGTAGGGTTAAGGTTAGGAAAAGGGTTAGGTTAGGCTTAGCTAAAATGCTACAGTTATCCACAATGCGACAACTAGATGGAGATGTACTCCAGGTTTTAAAAGTTTTGAAATCTTACATTATCAACTTTCCTGTGTGTTTGATGCTTCTTTTTACAGTCTATGGCGAGGAAACTGTGCAGATACGGTGATCTGAGCTATCTGATTGGCCAGCAGTTGATCTGCTCTACCTGAAGGTTCTACCTTCAGACACATGAAATGGTTCAAAATGGGAACACTTTGCCTTCCCGGAGCTAGTGCTGCTAAATCAAGTGCACCTACCGCCAACAGCGCCAAACAAATAAAAAACATTGGAATGCAAGGCTTTATTGTTGGGTTTTTTACAGAAATGTTTGGTGATCGACTAGGAATCCCTTGGAGATCGACCTTTCGATCGCGATCGACCGGTTGGTGACCACTGCACTAGGCTATCATCCCCTTGTGTGTTCTCTGTAGAGAAGCCGTGTGCCCTGTTCTGTTCCCCCGTCATTAACCCCCTGTGTGTTCTCTCTGTAGAGAAGCCGTGTGCCCTGTTCTGTTCCCCCATCATTAACCCCCTGTGTGTTCTCTCTGTAGAGAAGCCGTGTGCCCTGTTCTGTTCCCCCGTCATTAACCCCCTGTGTGTTCTCTCTGTAGAGAAGCTGTGTGCCCTGTTCTGTTCCCCCGTCATTAACCCCCTGTGTGTTCTCTCTGTAGAGAAGCCGTGTGCCCTGTTCTGTTCCCCTGTCATTAACCCCCTGTGTGTTCTCTCTGTAGAGAAGCTGAGTGCCCTGTTCTGTTCCCCTGTGGGGAGAGATGCCCCCATCCTGGTGGCAGAGAGAGTGATGGCAAAATGTAAAGTGTTGGTCCCATGTTTTATGAGATGAAATAAAATATCCCCAAAATGTTTTGCACAAATTAGTTTACATCCCTGTTAGTGAGCATTTCTCCTTAGCCAAGATCATCCATCCACCTGACAGGTGTGGCATATCAAGAAGCTGATTAAACAGCATGATCATTACACAGGTGCACCTTGTGCTGGGGACAATAAAAGGCCAAAATGTGCAGTTTTGTCACACAACACAATGCCACAGATGTCTCAATTTTGAGGGAGCATGCAATTGGTATGCTGACTGCAGGAATGTCCACCAGAGCTTTTGCCAGAGAATTGAATGTTAATTTCTCATATGCTGCCGCCAACGTTGTTTTAGAGAATTTGACAGACCACGTGTAACCATGCCAGCCCAGGACCTCCACATCTGGCTTCTTCACCTGCGGGATCGTCTGAGACCAACCACGCAGACAGCTGATGAAACTGAGGAATATTTATGTCTGTAATAAAGCCCTCTTATGGGGAAAAACTCATTCTGATTGTCTGGGCCTGGCTTCTCAGTGGGTGGGCCTATGCCCAGTCATGTGAAATCCATAGATTTTTGCCTAATGAATTTATTTCAATTGACTGATTTCCTTATATGAACTGTAACTTAGTAAAATCGTTGAAATTTCACATGTTGCGTTTATATTTTTGTTCAGTATAGCTATGAGCGGTGCAATGTTTCTGGCTGTTCCTCCTACCCTTGGCCTTCATCTACTGCCCTGCCTCACTCCCTTTGCCCTGTGACAGAAACCCTGCTCAGTCAGTGAGGGATGATGGGACCTGTCAGTGTCAGCAGGTCACTGGAAAAGCGTTTTCTCTCTGTAGGTCACTGGAGAAGGGTTTTCTCTCTGTAGGTCACTAGAGAAGGGGTTTCTCTCTTTAGGTCACTAGCAAAGAGTTTTCTCTCTGTGCTGGTGGATTTAATTGTCTCTTACAATATGTCCAACTGGTGGTTTCAAAGCCTCTCATTGGCCAATACATAGCAATCCGCAATCCAGTGTTTATATACACCATTGGTTGCTACCCCCCGAATTCGCTACAGTACACATATCAAAGATAGTACAGTCATATGGTTTTGTATCACAGTTGGTAGAGGATGGCACTTGTAACACCAGGGTACTGGATTTGATTCCTGGTACCACACATATGTAAAATGTAAGCACATATGACTTTAAAACTGGCATTACAGTATTATATATTTCTGTAAGATGAACAGGCTTCCTGGTTCCTAACAAGGTTTGTTCCTGGTGATTGTCGCTCTGGTGAATGTTATAATAACGTGTGCCAGCCTGTAAATAGTTCCTTCTTGTTTTGTTATATTTCAGACCTCATTGTTTTTTATGCTTTTAGAGTTGTCATACATTCATTGCATAACTGAATAAAAGCTCTTAACATTTGTATATCCAAATCTTCTGTCTGCCAGCCCCCGAATTGAGAAGCGACACCTCAACAAAATATTTTGAATGTGGGCGGGACTTCCGGCTGAGTGTACCCGGAAGATTTGGATGCAAGTTTCTCGGACGTGCATCCATATGTTCGCTTTTTATGTATCGATCATTGGTATTGATTTAATTTAGGTGATTTTATAAACTCAATACCGGGACGATGTTGTCTTTAGATTTCCTTGACGATGTGCGGCGGATGAATAAGCGCCAGGTATGTACGATAACATTGTTTTTGATGTTGTGTGAATGTGACGGATTCTTCCAAGGCTCGTTAGCTAGCTATCTAGTTATGCTAGCAACATTAGTCGGCTGGTTAGTAACACGTTGCTTAAAATGTAAAGTGCTAGCTAGCTACCCAGCTGTCCGTGTGGTCTTATGTACAAATAGAATTACCCTGCTAGCTAAATACGTTACATCGCCTATTGAACATGGATGATAAACTGGGTTGTCAAAATAACTAGCTAGCTAGCAACCTTGCTAAATCAATGTAGCTTTAGCCTGTACAGTTTCCTCTCTGTCTAAATATGGTGTTACGTCAGTGTTCTTCAAACCTGGTACTGAGGACCCACAAAGTGTGCAGACTTTTATTCCAGCCTAAGTTACTAGCTTCTACTAGATTCTACTGATCATCAAGCCCTTTATTAGCTGAAACATGTATATTAGTACTGGGCTGGGACAAACATAGGCTAGGACAAAAGCCTGCACACCCTGTGAGTCCCCAGGACCAGCTGTTGGTAGATCTAGTTATTATAATCAAACACTAGCTCATCTTTGTCTCAACCTGACAACCTGTCTTATTTGTTTTCAGCTCTACTACCAGGTGCTGAATTTTGGTATGATAGTGTCCTCAGCCCTGATGATCTGGAAAGGACTGATGGTTGTGACAGGCAGCGAGAGCCCTATTGTTGTTGTCCTCAGGTAAAGCATTGGTGTTGTCTATAGCTTATATAGATAGAGTGCTTTTCCAGACACTCAAAGCGCTTTACATAGTAAGGGGAAATTCACCACTTTCACCACCAATGTGTAGCACCCACAAACCTACTGATTGTCTGAAGCGCATCTGCTAATTTTCAGTAACCTGTCTATCCTTGACTGTAACATGTTCTTGGTTTCAGTGGGAGTATGGAGCCTGCTTTCCATCGAGGAGACCTTCTGTTCCTGACAAACCGGGTCGAGGACCCCATCAGAGTCGGAGAGATCGTGGTCTTCAGGATAGAGGGCAGAGAGATCCCCATAGTACACAGAGTACTAAAGATTCATGAAAAGTTGGTCTATGATGTTTCTGTAGTTATTGAAACGCGCTAGTTCTCTCTCGGGATGGTTCTCAATGTTGGTTACAAGTTTGAGAAGGCCTACTTCCCCCAAAAAAGTTTGTATTGCTACATAACACTCAAACTAGGCTTTAAATATTCAATATTATTTCTTACCTCATGTATGTTTTTTAATACATCTGAATAAATGTGATATTGTCAGAGCAATTTCATAAGCTGCTCTGGGGCCAAGAAATCCATGTATGACTTCCAAACTAAATCTAAATGTTATTGTTTATTTACTAAATGTTGTTTATCTCCAGGGAAAATGGTGAAATCAAGTTCCTGACCAAAGGTGACAACAACTCTGTAGATGACAGAGGGCTGTACAAGCCGGGACAGCACTGGCTGGAGAAGAAAGATGTGGTGGGAAGAGCCAGAGGGTGAGCATTTATCTCATTCCACCAAAATGATACTAGGCTTAGTCTGCTGTATGACTTCAGTCTAATGCTTCACTTCACTGGACCTATATGATACCATTTCCCTTGAGATATTATTTAGTGCAAAATGAAACTGAACTTGAGTCTGCACTCATCTATCCTGTAGTAGTGGAAGGGCTCAAGCAGGGGTTAAAGTTCTCCGTCACTGCGACGGATTTGAGATCAGTGTAGATCCGCAATAAAAATCTTGGGAGATGGGAGGGCTGATTTGGAGATGTAATACGAAGTTGTATTTTCCCAAATAAATGTATTCTCAAATATGTTATTTTATCTGTTACGCTGTGTGTACTGAACTGACATACTGTTGCTGACACTCGGGTGTTCAGAGGAAAATGGGAGTTTAAACTTTAAGAAAAATTTTCAATTTGTCACATCCCTACACTAGAGGTGCAGTCAAGTTGCGAGAGCAGTTTTGTCAAATGTATTTTGAAAGCAGTTTTTTTTTTTAAAGCGGAGCTTCCCAATTTTCCATTGCTACCACCTTTATTTCTCTACTCCTTCAATTAGTGGCATCATTTTACAAATGCAGTTACAACCGTAGTTTAAAGCATGGTTTAGGCGTGTCTGCGCAAAGTAGTGATGGGTAGTTTGCGAATGAACAGCTTTTTTTGAGTGGCTGTTTTTTGTTATTTTTGGCTATTTTTTTTCATTTATTTGGCTCCCTGATGTGCATGCTGTTGCTTTTTAAGCAGACATCGACTATCTGCAGATAAATGATAAAAATATTCTCTGAAGATGGTAATTCCTCAGTGCAGGAACAATACAGTGAGGAGAGAGCCTCATTCTGCTCTACGCTCAGTTATTCAGTGCGTTACATTTAGGCTTTTTTTTTGCAGGCCATCTAATAATTTGGTCAGGTAAAAATGTATTTGAACTCAAATTTCACTATCTGACATAATGGTAGGCAACATTTTAGGCTTTAAATTAAGGCTTGACCATTTTTTCATGGTTTTATGTCAATTTCTAAGCACTAATGATGAAGAGCCGTTTGGGAGCCAAATGAGCAGCTCTTTTAGGTGAAAGGAGCCAAACGTTCTGGCTCACCGAAAAGACTCTGAATCACTATGCAACAGAGCTCTAAAAGGGACAATTACATACTTTGTAATAGAAACTAAAAATATCAAATTTTTTGAGTGAATAATAATTAATTTATATATATATATATTTATAATGAAAGTATAATCATTAATAATAATAACAATCAGGATGTTGTGTCCAATGAGGTAAATGCAGATGGACAAACTCAATGCTTCAGCCTATGTACATTTTATAACCACTATCCTGCATTAGTTGGGCTACAGGAGATAATGGTTATAGCACATCTGATAATATAGACCATGCATAGGCTATATACATGGTCCAATATGATTTTACCAATATTTTATTGTGCAAATTTCTGGAGGTGGAAATTTAATTTGAAATGGTTTCAGCATAATTTTATTTTCATTCATTTTGGAGTAGAATGTCCCTTTAAAAAGTCACAAGAACTGAGCTTCTCAGTCTTCTACTTACAAATTATCCCAGGGAGGACCCCCTAAGGAAGGGGACTGGAATTGGTCAAACTCGCAGTTTAGGCCTAATACATGTACAAAATGATCCTCTTTCCTTAAAAGCATGATGGTCGTGACTTTCTTACATGAAAGGGCAGGTTAACTTGGCCCCAGACAAGTTTCAGTCATGGGATTCGTTTTTTTGCTTTAACCCCTGCTCAAGTATTTAACCAGTTGTGTAAAGTACTTAAGTAAACATACTTGAAAGTACTACTTAAGTCATTTTTGTTGTTGTTGTATCTGTACTTTACTATTTATATTTTTGCGAACTTTTACTTACTACATTCCTAAAGAAAATAATGTACTTTTTACTCCATACATTTTCCCTGACACCCAAAAGTACTCGTTACATTTGGACAGGAAAATTGTCAAATTCACGCAAGTCATCCCTACTGCCTCTGATCTGGCAGACTCTCTAATCACAAATGCTTCGTTTGTAAATTATGTCTGAGTGTTGGAGTGTGCCCCTGGCTATCCGTAAATAAATAATATATAGAAAATTGTGCCGTCTGGATTGCTTAATATAAGGAATTTGAAATGATTTATACTTTGACTTTTGATACTTAAGTATATTTTAGCAATTCCATTTACTTTTGATACTTAAATATATTTAAAACCAAATACTTTTAGACTTTTACTCAAGTAGTATTTTACTGGGTGACTTTTACTTAAGTCATTTTCTATTAAGGTATCTTTACTTTTACTCAAGTATGACAGTTGAGTACTTTTTCCACCACTGTATTTAACTATTGAAGATGTAATGTTAGGTAACAATTTACTTGAACTGTACATAATAACAGCATCATGACATTGTCATAAACATGTAATCTGATGTTGAATGTTAATTTTGTCTCCAGGTTTGTGCCATACATCGGAATCGTTACCATTCTGATGAACGACTACCCCAAATTCAAGGTAAGATATTTTACATCGTCATCACTAGAAGCAAAATCACTATGTTTTATGAATTGTTGACTAAATTCAGCCTTATTAGGGGCGGTATGCAGGTAGCCTGAAGGTTAGAGAGCCTGAGCAGTAACCAGTCCAGTTGCTGGGTCATATTTTGGGATCTAAACAGTGGGAGGGGAACTGGCAAACGGAAAGCTGTTGTTTTTAGATCCCCGGATCAGAGATACTATTATTCTGTTGTTCTTTGCCTTCCCAGTATGCTGTTCTCTTCCTGCTGGGTCTGTTTGTCCTGGTCCATCGGGAGTGAGGAAGAGACTACCTAACTATCTGCCACAGATGAAGAATTGGAAATCCCCACCCCACCATGCCTTTCAAGACATAATTATGTTGATTATGTCTAATTACGTTGCTTTTTTTTGGATTGTGTGTAGAAATGTGGATAGTGTTCTTTACATTATTAAAAAAACAAGCATTCATTATTTTTGTGAGGGAAATTAGATATAAGTTAAGTAGAATAAAGAGCTGTAATCTTTTTTTTCTTTTTTTAAGAACATGAATCCAACATTTTAGATGGTTAATTACATATTTTGTTTTCACTGTTAATTAGGTTTTGCTTTGCTTAAAGTATTGTATGACAACTGATATATTTGTGACATTAAATATGACATCTGTTACCCTCTCCTGCTTTCTGGTAACTTATGCATCTAGTGTTTTCTTATATTCAAGCATAACTTCACTAAAACACATTTGTGCATTTTCAAAATGCCATTATTTTACATGCAGGCTAAATATAACATTTACATATGTCATTTAGCATACGCTCTTATCCAGACTGATTTACAGTTAGTGCATTCATCTTAAGATGGCTAGGTGGGAAAACCACATATCTCAGTCATGGTAAGTACGTGTTTTATATACTGAACAAAAATATAAACGCAACATGTAAAATATTGGTCCAATGTTTCATGAGCTAAAATAAATCTACCAAGAAATGTTTAATACGCACAAAAATATGATTTATCTCATTTTGTGCACAAATTTGTTTACATCCCTGTTAGTGAGCTTTTCTCCTTTGCCAAGATAATCCATATTAAGAAGCTAATTAAACAGCATGATCATTACACAGGTGCATCTTCTGCTGGGGACAATAAAAGGCCACTCTAAAATGTGTAGGTGTCACACAACACAATGCCAGATGTCTCAAGTGTTGAGAGAGCATGCAATTGGCATGCTGACTGCAGGAATGTCCACCAGAGCTGTTGCCAGAGAATGTAATGTTAATTTCTCTACCATAAGCCGCCTCCAACGTTGTTTTAGAGAATATGGCAGTACATCCAACCGGCCTCACAACTGCAGACCACGTGTATGGCGTCATGTGGGCGAGCAGTTAGCTGATGTCAATGTTGTGAACGGAGTGCCCCATGGTGGCAATGGGGTTTTGGTATGGGCAGGCATAAGCTACGGACATGAACACAATTGCATTTTATCGATGGCAATTTTAATGCACAGAGATACCGTGATGAGATCCTGAGGCCCATTGTCGTGCAATTCATCCACCGCCATCACCTTATGTTTCAGCATGATAATACATGGCCCCATGTAGCAAGGATCTGTACACAATTCATGGAAGCTGAACATTTCCCAGTTCTTCCATGGCCTGCATACTCACCAGACATGTCACCCATTGAGCTTGTTTGGGATGCTCTGGATTGATGTGTACGACAGCGTGTTCCAATTCCCGCCAATATCCAGCAACTTTGCACAGCCATTGAAGAGGAGTGGAACAACATTCCACAGGCCACAATCAACAGCCTGATCAACTCTATGCGAAGGAGATGTGCCGCGCTGCATGAGGCAAATGGTGATCCCACCAGATACTGACTGGTTTTCTGATCCACGTCCCTACCTTTTTCTAAAGGTACCTGTGACCAACAGACCCATATCTGTATTCCCAGTCGTGAAATCCATAGATTAGGGCCTAATTCATTTATTTCAATTGACTGATTTCTTTATATTTTTTACATTTACATTTTAGTCATTTAGCAGACGCTCTTATCCAGAGCGACTTACAGTTAGCACATACATTATTTTATCGAACCCACAACCCTAGCGTTGCAAACGCCATGCTCTACCAACTGAGCTACATCCCCTGCCGGCCATTCCCTCCCCTACCCTGGACGACACTGGGCCAATTGTGCGCCGCCCCATGGGTCTCCCGGTCGCGGCCGGCTACGACAGAGCCTGGATTCGAACCAGGATCTCTAGTGGCACAGCTAGCACTGCGATGCAGTGCCTTAGACCACTGCGCCACTCGGGAGAATATGATCTGTAACTGTAAAATCTTAGAAATTGTTACATGTTGCATTTATATTTTGGTTCACTATATATACACTACCGGTCAAAAGTTTTAGAACACCTACTCATTCAAGGGTTTTTCTTTATTTTTACTATTTTCTACATTGTAGAGTAATAGTGAAGACATCAAAACTGTGAAATAATGCATAAGGAATCAAAAAAGGGTTAAACAAATCAAAATATATTTTCTATTTGAGATTCTTCAAATACCTTTGCTTTGATGACAGCTTTGCACACTTTTGGCATTCTCTCAACCAGCTTCATGAGGTAGTCACCTGGAATGCATTTCAATTAACAGGTGTGCCTTGTTAAAAGTTAATTTGTGGTATTTCTTTCCTTCTTAATGCTTTTGAGCCAATCAGTAGTGTTGTGACAAGGAAGTGGGGTATACAGAAGATAGCCCTATTTGGTAAAAGACCAAGTCCATATTATGGCAAGAACAGCTAAAATAAGCAAAGAGAAACGACAGTCCATCATTACTTTAAGACATGAAGGTCAGTCAATACGAAACATTTCAAGAACTTTAAAAGTTTCTTCAAGTGCAGTCGCAAAAACCATCAAGCGCTATGATGAAACTGGCACTCATGAGGACCGCCACAGGAATGGAAGACCCAGAGTTACCTCTGCTGCAGAGGATAAGTTAATTAGAGTTACCAGCCTCAGAAATTGCAGCCCAAATAAATGCTTCACAGAGTTCAAGTAACAGACACATCTCAACGTCAACTATTCAGAGGAGACTGTGTGAATCAGGCCTTCATGGTCAAATTGCTTCAAAGAAACCCACTACTAAAGGACACCAATAAGAAGAAGAGACGTGTTGGGCCAAGAATTAAGAGCAATGGACATTAGACCGGTGGAAATGTGTCCTTTGGGCTGGAGTCCAAATTTGAGATTTTTGGTTCCAACCGCCTTGTCTTTGTGAGATGCGGTGGGGGTGAACGGATGATCTCTGCATGTATATTTCCCACCGTAAAGCATGGAGGAGGAGGTGTTATGGTGTGGGGGTGCTTTGCTGTTGACACTGTCTGTGATTTATTTAGAATTCAAGGCACACTTAACCAGCATGGCTACCAGAGCATTCTGCAGTGATACGCCATCCCATCTGGTTTGGGCTTAGTGGGACTATCATTTGTTTTTCAACAGGACAATGACACAACACACCTCCAGGCTGTGTAAGGGCTATTTTACCAAGAAGGAGAGTGATGGAGTGCTGCATCTGATGACCTGGCCTCCACAATCCCCCGACCTCAACCAAATTGAGATGGTTTGGGATGAATCGGACCGCAGAGTGAAGGAAAAGCAGCCAACAAGTGCTCAGCATATGTGGGAACTCCTTCAAGACTGTTGGAAAAGCATTCCAGGTGAAGCTGGTTGAGAGAATGCCAAGAGTGGTTACTACATGATTTAATGTGTTATTTCATAGTTTTGATGTCTTCACTATTATTCTACAATGTAGAACATAGTAAAAAATCTAGGAAAACCATTGAATGAGTAGGTGTTCTAAAACTTTTGACCGGTAGTGTGTATATACAGTGGGGAGAACAAGTATTTGATACACTGCCGATTTTGCAGGTTTTCCTACTTACAAAGCATGTAGAGGTCTGTAATTTTTATCATAGGTACACTTCAACTGTGAGAGACGGAATCTAAAACAAAAATCCAGAAAATCACATTGTATGATTTTTAAGTAATTCATTTGCATTTTATTGCATGACATAAGTATTTGATCACCTACCAACCAGTAAGAATTCCGGCTCTCACAGACCTGTTAGTTTTTCTTTAAGAAGCCCTCCTGTTCTCCACTCATTACCTGTATTAACTGCACCTGTTTGAACTCGTTACCTGTATAAAAGACACCTGTCCACACACTCAATCAAACAGACTCCAACCTCTCCACAATGGCCAAGACCAGAGAGCTGTGTAAGGACATCAGGGATACAATTGTAGACCTGCACAAGGCTGGGATGGGCTACAGGACAATAGGCAAGCAGCTTGGTGAGAAGGCAACAACTGTTGGCGCAATTATTAGAAAATTGAAGAAATTCAAGATGACGGTCAATCACCCTCGGTCTGGGGCTCCATGCAAGATCTCACCTCGTGGGGCATCAATGATCATGAGGAAGGTGAGGGATCAGCCCAGAACTACACGGCAGGACCTGGTCAATGACCTGAAGAGAGCTGGGACCACAGTCTCAAAGAAAACCATTAGTAACACACTACGCCGTCATGGATTAAAATCCTGCAGCACACGCAAGGTCCCCCTGCTCAAGCCAGCGCATGTCCAGGCCCGTCTGAAGTTTGCCAGTGACCATCTGAATGATCCAGAGGAGGAATGGGAGAAGGTCATGTGGTCTGATGAGACGAAAATAGAGCTTTTTGGTCTAAACTCCACTCGCCGTGTTTGGAGGAAGAAGAAGGATGAGTACAACCCCAAGAACACCATCCCAACCGTGAAGCATGGAGGTGGAAACATCATTCTTTGGGGATGCTTTTCTGCAAAGGGGACAGGACGACTGCACCGTATTGAGGGGAGGATGGATGGGGCCATATATCGCGAGATCTTGGCCAACAACCTCCTTCCCTCAGTAAGAGCATTGAAGATGGGACGTGGCTGGGGGAACCCGAAACACACAGCCAGGGCAACTAAGGAGTGGCTCCGTAAGAAGCATCTCAAGGTCCTGGAGTGGCCTAGCCAGTCTCCAAACCTGAACCCAATCGAAAATCTTTGGAGGGAGCTGAAAGTCCGTATTGCCCAGCGACAGCCCCGAAACCTGAAGGATCTGGAGGTCTGTATGGAGGAGTGGGCCAAAATCCCTGCTGCAGTGTGTGCAAACCTGGTCAAGACCTACAGGAAACGTATGATCTCTGTAATTGCAAACAAAGGTTTCTGTACCAAATATTAAGTTCTGCTTTTCTGATGTATCAAATACTTATGTCATGCAATAAAATGCAAATTAATTACTTAAAAATCATACAATGTGATTTTCTGGATTTTTGTTTTAGATTCCGTCTCTCACAGTTGAAGTGTACCTATGATAAAAATTACAGACCTCTACATGCTTTGTAAGTAGGAAAACCTGCAAAATCGGCAGTGTATCAAATACGTGTTCTCCCCACTGTATATATACCTGTATATTATTATTTCTACACTATTCTGAGCCAATGTTTGCCCTTTTGACATACAGTGCCTTCAGAAAGTATTCATATCCCTTTACTTATTCCACATTTTGTTGTGTTACAGCCTGAATTCAAAATATATTTAGATTTTTTTTCTCACCCATCTAAACACAATACCTCATAATGACAAAGTGAAAACATGTTTTTTGAAATGTTTGCAAATGTATTCAAAATAAAATACAGAAATATCACATTTACATAAGTATTCAGACCCTTTACTCAGTACTTTGTTGAAGTGCCTTTGGCATCAATACAGCCCCAAGTCTTCTTGGGTATGACGCTACAAGCTTGGTGTAACCGGTGTGAAATGGCT